TTTGATCCTACTTTTGGCCCCAGTTGTTGAGCCCAGGGATGGGCACCTGGACCAGGCTGGGCCAATGAATTTTTTCCTGTAAATTTTTGGTCTTGGGAAAGAGAAAATCCTATCAGTTTCTTCCTGGGTGCTGGACTATAAGCTATGCTGATATCAAGCACATTTACCACTCTGTGGAGATAAAGAAGTGGAAACGAGCCCAGTTCAGAGAGAGAATAATAATCATAGTGAGCCTTGCATATTAATACTTCTATATGCCAGGCCCTGTTCTGAGCATCATACACGTGCTGACTCATTGAACCCTCACACCCCTGTGAGGTAGGTTGATGTTGCTATTATTATTATCATTATATCATTCTTGGATGTAAAGATAAGAGCAGAGATGCAGAGAGTGTCCAGATGTCACTCAAGCATCTTGTTCCAATGGCTCTTTGAGGCTCCGGCTGCATTCCTGTAACGAGGTCCTGTGAGACATTTGGGTCACCTTACAATATACCTCCCTTTCTTTTGTTTAAGTTAGCTCTAGTAGGTTTCTGAAATTTACAACCAAAATAACAAAATACAACCAAATAATATAACAATCCAAACTCTAATTAACAGTTAGTAACTAATATTACTAGAATTCAGCTTCTATTATTCTTTCATGTACACAAAGAAATAATAAAACATTTCTGTCAAGTACTTGAAAGAAATCCAATTACACCATATCTACTACCCTTTTGTGTTGCAACAGACTCCATAAATATAAGAATAGACCACAAGGAGCTTTCTTCGAAGGGAGTACAGTAAAGTTAATGTGAACCTTTCCATGTGTATGAGTCTAATAATTCATTTTTATAATAGATACTAAAATATGGATATAATTTGTGTTTATACTGTGTTTTAAATATAACTAAGATTAACAAAGAGTATCAGGAAAGAGCAACTATTACTGGCATTAAGAAGAGGGAAATGATTCAGATAATATTAGAATAACATAAGTTAAAAAAATTTTTGTATCTTAATTTTTGTATTTTTAGATGCCCTGTCATCTTGTTATCACAATCATCAATGGAAGGAGTAAAGAGGAAAAAAGATGAAATAGGGACAGGGGTTTGACTGAGACCCTAAAACATCCAAGGCTTTTAAATGGATCATCTTCTTCCTATCATTTTTGCCTGTAGGTGTCTTCAAAAGCATTACTCAGTCCATCTGCCTACTGCCAGTGTCATCATCTGCTTCCATAATGAAGAATTTAATGCCTTGCTTCGGACATTATCCAGTGTTGTGAATCTCACTCCACACAATTTCCTTGAAGAAATTATTTTGGTAGATGACATGAGTGAATTTGGTAAGATAGAACACTGATTGTCTAATCTACTTTGAAGATAGTGCTCTCCCTGATGGCGCTTGAGTATTTTATATGAAGAATATTTTTGGTGTGTATTGAGGCAGGCACTACGCGAGGGGCTCCTGGTACACTGATGGACATGTTGGACCTGGTCCCTGTCCTTATGGTGCTTGGGCTCATGGGGGAGGGCAGAGGGGGAGTCAGAGCTTGCACAGGGTAAACACAGGGCAGCAACCTCACCTTCAGAGATCACCTCAGTAAGAAGAGACATCTTAACTGAGACTAAAGGATGAGTTGGAACTATCCGGGCAGGGAGGAAGGAAAAGGTGTTTTAGGTATAGCAAACAGCATTGGAAAGGCCCAGAGGCAAGAGAAAACACGGCGAGTTTGGGATAGTGCTGTGTTTTATGCAGTTTATGCATGAGTATAGAGTTGGAGGGGTGGGCGTAAAACCAGAGTCATTAAAAGGGAACTGCTCATGAAGGGCACTGTTTGAATTTTATCTTGAGAATACGGGCAGCTAGTAAGGGCTTAATGTGGGGAAATGACATGATCCAGGAACTTTACATGAAAGAATTCTAATCAGACCAATTGGAGTTAAGTGCTTCTTCTTCCATGCTTACTGGTTTTAAAAAATTGTAATACTAGCACCAAATTTCCTTAACTCCATTTGAAATTTGCAATTAGTTGCCTATGTTATGGCTGAGTACAAACCATAGGCAAGCCAGGAGTACCAAAGCAATGGTGTCAATATTGGGAACATTTCAGGCCTGAAAGTCTATCCGATCCACTGTGAATCTGACCCACTATGAATTGGGAAGGAAAAAGGTGAGGAGAAGGAGTAGGAAGAAGAACAGGTGGGGAACAAAAGAAGACACCCCAAGAGGCTCACCTCCAGGGAAGAGCCTCTGGCAATTCCCGAGTGTGACTGGGTTATGTCAGCTACGTTTGGAAGTGTAGAAGCTGGCTGGGCACCTAGTGCGTGTTGTGCCAGCTCTATGGCAGTCACCAACCTGAGGGCACAGGATTGATTATTTCTAGTCTCCTGCATGGGAGGCGTGTGGGGATGGCCTGGCCTCCTGCTGCTCAAGTCACCCTTGCTGCCTCATCTGCTCAGGAGCAATGAACAACACGTTTGGCAACTTAGTGGGCAAGAAGTCACCAGGAAAGCCACAAGCAGGGGACAGGGTGGGATGACCTGCCGGGTGTGGAGTTCTAACTTGTCACCCAGAAGTACAAGGATCCTGCCATGGGGATGCAGTTCCAGAAATGACACTTCCCCTGGCCTTTTAGAACCACACCATGAGTTAGTCAGCTTGGCTGCTATAACAAAATACCATAAACTGGGTGGTTTAAACAACTAACATTTATTTTTCCATAGTTCTGGAAGTTGGAAGTCTGAGATCAGGGTGCCAGCAGGGCCAAGTCCTTGGTGAGAGCTCTATTCCTGGTTGACAGCAATAATCTTTTGTGCTGTGTCCTCATATCAAGGAGAGACAGCAAGCTAGCTTGCTGGCATCTTCTTTTAAAGGCACTAATCCCATTCACAAGGGGCCCACTCTTATGACCTAATCCCTCCCCCAAGGGCCCACCCCCAAATACCGTCATAGTGGGGACCAGATTCCAACATATGAATTTGGGGGACACAAGCATTCAGTCCATAACGTCTGCTGATCTGCTCATACATTCTCATGCACCGTGGTCACCCTCATAAGAGACTCAAGGGAAGCTGCTGACGGCCACGATGTGGGTGTGCTGCCAGACCAGACACCTCTGCTTCTCCTCCTTGATCTTAGCCTTTGCCCCGGCAGCTCCTCAAACGCAGGAAGCAGGGCGTCCTATGTTCTGATGGAGCTCAGGATTGACACGTTCCTACCTTTAATTCACAATGCCTTCGTCAGAGGCTGCAGGGCAATTTCTTGAACTGAGGCCTGTCTTTCCCAGCTAACACCCACAGGCACGGTTGATAGACTTCCTCAGCTGGGAAGAGCAGGTCCAGGGGCCCAGGGAACTGTCCCTTCTGAGTGGCCAGCTGCCATCCACTTTTCCCATAGTCTTGGCCCCTCTTGACTACAAGCCAACAGCATGACCATCTTCTGAAAAACCCAAGCCCCCCTCTTCATGCCAGCAATTACTGCGTTTGTCTCCCCCAAGGCCTGGCTCAGAGTCCCCCATGCCCTGGATGCTAGTGAGGTGCTTGCAGACATCTGACTGAGATGCTCCCCCCCCTGCAAGTGCAGCTGTGCAGCTGTGTCGTTGCCTCTTTCTAAAGACCAGGAGGGAGATCCCTCCCTCTGCCCAGACTACCATGAACCTGCTCCATTGATTCCAGCCGCCTCATCCCAATTCCTGGGACTGAAGAGTTTAGGCCTCTGAGGCACCTGCCTCCGTCTCACCTGGGCCAGGCTCCTTTGTCATCATCATATTAACCTGCAGACACTGAGTGACTGTTAGGTACCAGGCTCTGTGCTGGGTGATGTATTTCTTCCTCTCACCGGAATGCTGCCAGGATCACAGCACCCATCCCTTCTCAGCACTGAGGAAACTTAGGCTCGAGCGATTTGATAACTTACCTAAGGGTTATTACAAAGTTAGAAGAATGGTTGGTTATAGTACAATTAGCACAGTTAGTGGCAGAGTCAGATTGCACCAAAGCTCTATAACTCATGTTTTTTCTATTAAAACTCTAATAGTGATTTATTAAAATAGAAGTATTTCACTAGAAGCACAGAAAAATATTTACAGTTGAGTTTGATAAGGAATCACCTTTCTTTCTCTCCCTTGCATAGGATAAAATTGTCTTTTAAAGTTAGAACTCCTGGCTGGGCGCAGTGGCTCATGCTTGTAGTCCTAGCACCCTGGGAGGCCCAGGCAGGAGGATTGCTTGAGCTCAGGAATTTGAGACCAGCCTGAGCAAGAGTGAGACCCCGTCTCTACAAAAAAGAGAAAAATTAGCCGGGCATGGTGGCATGTACCTGTAGTGCCAACTACTCAGGAGGCTGAGGCAGGAGGATCACTTGACCCCAGGAGTTTGAGGTTGCTGTGAGCTATGATGATGCCACTGCACTCTAACCTGGGCAACAGAATGAGACCCTGTCTCAAAAAAAGAAAGAAAGTAAGTTAGAATTTGTGTGGAATAGCATGGTTTTTAGGAACCAATCATAATGATGGTAAATTGTTTCAAATTTCCATAGTTGCAATTTATAAATTGTCAAATGTTGGATATTTTTCCAGATGATTTGAAAGAAAAACTAGACTATCACTTGGAAATTTTTCGAGGAAAAGTTAAATTAATAAGAAACAAAGAGAGAGAGGGGCTGATTCGAGCAAGGCTGATTGGAGCATCTCGTGCATCAGGTAGGAACATTCCTGAGGACATGAGCCAGGGACGTGTCACAGAGATCCTACTTTCCTGTGCGGGAACAATCCCGTGCACGAATAATCCACAAGGAGACGGTGTCTCCACTGGCTTCATCAGAAGAGTGGAAATATTACCCCAGCCATGTGAGCCTTTGATCTGCTTTTGCCTCCAAAAGTATTCTGCTTCACGACGTCAATTTGTTATTTTGAGTGAAAGATATTCTTTTGCAGGGACCATAATGCCAGCCCTGTCACTGGCTGAGTTCCCTGGGTGCAAACTCTGGGGCGGAGCGAGGAAGCGTGACCGGACGGGGGTGCAGGGAGGTCAGGCGCCCGCCACGGGCAAGTCTGAAGCCAGGACGGGGAAGTTCAGGGCCCCACGAAGAAGTGACAAGAGAAAGCTCATTGGGGGAGATGCCTGTGAAGGAGAAAGGAGAAAGGAGGTAGTGTGGGCGGAAGCTTCCGGCCTGACACCTGTGAAGGGAGAGAGAAGGCGTCGGTTTACCTTGAAGAGCTTCCACGCGGGGCGTCTTTCAGAAAGGCTAGGCCGGTAGCCGGGAGCCCGGGTGCAAAGTTGGCTGGTGGTGGAGTCCTGCATTGGGCCCGAACGGCCCACCTTTAATACCCCTCAACACGCACACTGCGCTTAGTCATTGGGTTGGGAGCACCCCGGGGAGAGTGTGACCTCGGTGGCAATTGCAGTAGATCCCAAAGCTTTGGCAGCAGGACACTGTCAAATGCGCTCCTCGCAGCAGGTTCTCTTGGAGGGAGCTCTGAGCAGCACACTCTCAGGTGTGCTGAACTGCCACCAAGAGCGGTTCAGAGAGGTCCCAGATCCAGGTGAGGGGACCAGGCATGAACCAGTCATTGGATGTGCACACCGCCCTCCCATGGGAAGAGGCATGGCCTTGGACATGATAGGCACGCCAGCCAAGGGCAGGCCCCAGGAAGGACTCACTTGCGAGCCATCAGCTGTCAACACTGCTGGGTGCTGAGTCCTGAAGGCCTATGAGCAGCTCACGGAGGGTCCATGCTACCTATTCTAGCTCCACAAATATCCTTTGGAGGGAAGTACAGGAAAAGTCCTATATCAGCCAGGCTTGGCCTCATTCCCGCACTCATCACAGGCCCTAAAGAGAAGTTGGCTGAATCTGGGACAACCAACATGGTTTTTAGATAGACTGCAAATGAATGCTTGATAGGTTATCTCTAAAAACAATAAATGGCATAATCCTTTCTATAATTACAGAGGCCAATAGAAGTAGAGCAACTTTTCCTAACAATGAACTTCAGATTCCCACAAAATATTCTTGTGAGTGAGAGAATCAGCTGAGGAGCATCTATAGCACATAAATTTCCCCCATAAAATACTTTACGATGAGTGAAAAACAATGTTTCATTGAAATGTAGGTGTAGGTGGCTTGTTCCCATGTTTTGTAATTTAAATCAGTACTTAGAAAAATTCCGTATTAATTTTGCATAAAGTATACTTTTAAGTTATTTTGCAATTTGTCATATTACATTTATGGTGTTTTGGGTCACTCAAATTGTCAAAGTTGCAAGTATTTAAATCTTTAAATGCTAAGGGTACAAGTGTACACTATATACAACAAAGAAGATGTCACAAGTCAGTATAGGAAGAAGGACTTGTAAAATTTTTGTTTTTATTTATATTTTGTTGTGTTTTGTTTATATGTTTTGTTGTATAAGGAAACTTTATACCTATTAATCAGTTTCTCCACATTTTCCCTTCACTCTATCCCCTGGTAATCACCAATCTGTGTTCTGTCTCTTATGAACTTACCTATTCTGGATATTGCAAAGAAATGGAATCATATAACATGTGATCTTTTGTGTTGACTTCTTTTACTTAGCATAATGTTTTTGAGGTTCATCCACATTGTAGATGTATCAGTCCTTCATTCCTTTTTATGGCTGAATAATATTCCATTCTATGATAGGGCACAGTTTGTTTCTCCATTCGTCTGTTGATGGCTGTTTGGGCTGTTTCCATCTTTTGGCTATTACAAATAGTATTGCTGGTAATACGCACGTACGTGTATTTGTTTGAATTCTTTTGGGTATGTACCTAGGAGTGGAACTGCCCAGTCATATGGTAATTCTATGTTTACTTTTTTGAAGAACTGCCAAAATCTTTTCTACCATGGCTGCACCATTTCTATTCCTACCAGCAATGTACAGAGTTCTAATTTCTCCATATCCTTGCCAAAACTTGTTATTTTCCATTTTTTAAATTCTAGCCATCATAGTGAGTGTGAAGTGATGTCCTGCACGTTGGTTTTAATTTGTATTTGCTTAATGACAAATGATGTTGAGCATCTTTTCATGTTAACCATTTCTACATCTTTGGAGAAGCAGATGTTTATTTTCACCTATCAAATTAACAGACATGATTTTAAAATGCTAATAATGTTATATAATATTATAGAAGCTATTTTAGGTGAAAAATGCAAAGGGTAAAACTGTGTGCTGCCAACAGCATGGAAAATTTATATATGTTCAAAATGAGACACTTCTTAGCTCAGTTTTGGTTGAGACTAGAAGATAACAGATGTTATATTCCAAAGTGAGTTGTCAGAGTGACCATGATAAATTTCACAATAGATATCTGAGAACCAATGAGACAACTCAGCCATATTGAGTCAGATTGTTAGAGATTAGAGGAGATTTGGGGGAAAGCTGCTGGTTAAAGCCTGGGGAGAGGAACTAGATATGAGTTCCTTGTACTGGAGATTTAACACATTCTCAGCCATTCCTAACAAAATTAGGCATATGTTGGGGCTGAGGAGAAGTGAACTAATGTTAGTTGGATTGTGGTTGGCTGCAAAGCCAAGGATACTTGCTTCTAGGTTAGTGTCTGTATTCATGGCAGAGTTTGCTCAGGTGATTTCTGAGTGAGAGTGCTATCATCTTAGATGGTGTCCAGTGTGACTATCTAGAAGGATGGACAGCTCTCAGCAGTGGAGAAGCTGGAGGTAGAACACGGATCTTAAGGAGCTGAGGAGAGAGTGTGGGCCACCAGAATAGAATGCACTTGCCTGGTGTGGGAACTGCAGGCAAGAGACCACAAGGATGGGAAGGAGAGGGTCCTCAAAATTATCATGCCGGACACATCCTGAGAGGAGAAGTCAGCTTAAAGGGAACCATGCTGTCTTAGCATGGGTCTAGGCAGGAAAGAACTTTCCTTCCCCCTCTCCTCCTCTCTCACTCACCATTCCCATCAGCATTGGACAGCAAGCATTCCAGTTGCTCTACAACCTCACCAACACTTGCTATTGTCTGTCTTTTTTATTCTAGCCATCCTAGCGGGTGTGAAGTGATATCTCGGTATGATTTTGATTAACGTTTCCTTAATGACCTATGATGCTGAACACCTTTTCACATTCTTGGTAGTCATCTGTATGCCTTCTTTGAATAAATGTCTATTTAAATCCTTTGCCCATTTTAAAATCAAGTTATTTGGCTTATTATTACTGAGCTGTAAGAGTTCTTTATACAGTCTGCATACAAGTCCTTTATTAGCTTTATGATTTGTAAATGTTTTCTCCCATTTTATGGATTTTTTTCACTTTCTTGATGGTTTCTGTTGAAGCACAAAAGTCTTTAGTTTTGTTGAAGTCCAATTATGTATTTTTTCCTTTGTCACCTATATTTTTGGTGTCATATCTAAGAAACCATTTGGCCTAAGCCAAGGTCATAAAATTTATGCCAATGTTTTCTTCTGAGTTTTCTTTTCCTTTTTTCCCCCATCCCCTTAGTCAATTTGCATCTTCTGAGTTTTATAGTTTTAGCTCTTACCTTAGGTCTGTGATCTTTTTTTTTTTTTTTTTTTGAGACAGAGTCTCACTGTGTTGCCCAGGCTAGAG